TTATTCCTACATAATTCTATGATTTTCACGTCCCTAGTTTACACGCACTTTACACGAGTTAATTCATTTTAAAAAAGAACCATTTTTGAAGTTATACTTCTTTAGGCGCGTTATGAAAAATTGATGAGAGTGAAATTTTACGATGCGCGCGCACCTATGACACAAAATTGGGAGTGTGATTATAGCGTGCGCACTGCGCAATCTACAAGTAAAAAGAAATAGAATATGCGTGAAGCTAACTTCACGCATATTCTATTTCTTAGCTTAGCAGCTTAACAAGAATTTTGAATGACCATGACATCTGACAATGACATTTGAAACAAATATAGGAGTATTAATTAGTTTTAAAGATTATATACCTAGTTATTTTTATTATACAAGTGCGAATTTTATATTTGCGTCTGAATTATAATCAGAAGTGATTTAAATTGAATATCTAAATCAATACTAATTCATATGATAAAATATTTGTGAAAAAAACTGTGCCGAACTTCCTGAGTGCTTCAATACAATTGAGGTTAACTATCCGTATGTATTATCGAGTATTATTGTTGATTAAAACTGAAACATGAACCATTATTCATTGCTTTTGTTTATTGCGTTTGTTACAGCAACTTTTTAGAAATATTCTACGACCCTATATATCAATAATTGAGAACAAAGATTTAAGCACGAATACTAATAAGGAGAAAATGAAGGCTTGGAGCGATATTACAGAGAAGTAAACATTTTAATAAGTACCTGTATCTCAAAAAAATGATTACATTATTTAATCAAAACATGTAATTTTTCAGATTTAATCTAGCAAATATAAGGACAAGAGACAAAAAACAATTGATGAATCAGTGGAAGTGCACTAAATTGAATAAAAAAAAAGAGTTGTCATCTTATCGCCGTGAAACATCAAAAACTAGAGGTGGAACAAAGCCACCATCACCTTCTCCAGACACAATGGATATGGCAGAGATTATACCGCAACGGTTTGAAGTAGATTTCAATGAATTTGATTGTGATGGTGTCGAGGTAGGAATGTTAATTATAAATATGATGGTGATGTTCAAGGTTCAACCTCTCAAGCATAGGCACATACTTTATTCCCCTACAGGGTAGTTAGAGATATTGTAATACCTCAAAACATCCATGTTGCTCTTGTAGTACCGAAACTCTGTCCAGCCAGATGTGAGCCCATTCCCACTTATAATGGACAGTGGGTATAATACACCTTAATACCTGAGTGCGAACCACTCACCATGATACTTAAATTAATAGATGTTATTTATATATTTCAGGATATTACAAATAAAATCATTTTGGAAACAATTGCTATCCCAAAAGCAAATAAAGCCAACAATGACAAGGTAATAAATCAGTTTTGACATAACTTGAATACTAAAAATGCCAAACAAAGGTGTGCACAACAGTGACAACATAACTTAAGAATTTCATTATTTTGTAGGATTAAAAAAGGTTAAAGAAAATCATGTCGAACTGAACAACAAGAATCCCCAAACAACTCAAAAGAAACCTACAAGGAAGACACCGGTATTATATTTAAATTATCTCTATCTCTAAATAGAATAAAAGAAAGTTGCTATCCAGGTCTGTAGCATGTGCTACAAATTATATTATTAACACATTTATATAATTGTATTAATATAAATGTGTTAAAAATTTTATAATATGAATTATAAAAAATTTTAAGTTTTGCATGGACAGAGCTTAAATTAATATTCTCTTATTTGTTGCAGAAGCAAGTAGTAGTTTTAGTTTTGGAGAAGCCTCGTAGATGCACAACCAAGTAATGATTAATTTAAAATTACAAACCGAAATTCTGATGAAGACATTAGAGTCACTTAAAAATAAATAGTATAATGAAATAAAAATGTTTTAAAGATAAATAGTGCTTTATTTGTTTAAATAACTTAATTGTTAAAACAACCTAAATTAAGAACTATCAAACTAAGTTTTCATCAATAAAAATGGCTCTTACTGCTGCTCCATGCAGTTTATTTTGAGATGAGGGTACTGTTAGTGTGGGCAGGGTCTCTTCATCATCATCAGAGATAGGTTCCTCTTTTAATTCAATGGCTATATTGTGCAATACTGACAATAAACACCTAAATCTGTTTTTCCAAACACCAAAACATCTCTCTACGCTATTGCGAGTTCTGATGTGGCATAATTGTATGATTCTTCTTTATGAGTGGTCGGATTTAATATTGGTGTAAATAAATTAGGAGTGCAAGCATTGCCAGTCTCCAAGTAGTCTGCCATGAAATTGTTCCTTCTCAAAACATTGTTTTAATGGCCTTTCAATAAAAATCTGTGAGTCATGGGTACTGCCACGCCAATGAGCAACGATATTCATTATATTTAATGTTGCATCGCACACAACCTGAACATTTAAGGAACTGGATCCTTTACAATTTATGTAATGTTAACCACTAGGTCCTTGTACTTTACTTCTTCTAATGTGAGTACAGTCAATTGCACCTACCACATTTTTAAAATCAGCTATAGCTTCAAATAGTTCTATATGCTTCAACTGGTCATTTAAAGACTTGGGCATTTTGATATACTCTAATCTTGCCCTTGCTACTCGATGGCATACTGTAGAGAAAGATTGCTGAGTCAGACCATGAATATCTGCAGCATCATCTTGCATCTGAAAGTTAATAAAATAATATAGTTTACCCTAACTATTATATGAAAAGATATAATAAATATTTCATGTTCAGGTGTTAAATACTTCTTATACATACTTGGTTGCGGCCCCAATATCTCAAAGCTATCAATATCTGAAGAACAGAAGATAAACCACCCCCACGTTTGTCTTGTCTTTGAGAATTACCAAATAATTGGTCTAAAATTAAAACACCAGCCTTTGAAACTCTATAATTTCGACGGAACGGTTTCTTTTCTTATTTCTTATGTTTTAACATTTCTTGCACTGGTCATTTGACTTATTAAATTATTTATTTGTTCAACTTCTTCTACTGCTCTGATATCCATTATATTATTTAGAAAAATGAACAATGAAATCGTCAAAACACAATACAATCAACACAGATAATAAAGTATCAACTATGTCTATGAACTATTGGTTTTAGATTATGTGAGAGTTATACTAGGACAGACTAGGTGGACGGCTGGAATAATGCTAGTATGAACAGTTACGCCGACGTCATGCTAGGTTTAAGTTATTCCGGGTTTATTAGTAGACATTTTGCTTATTCTTAGAGATTGTTCAGAAAGGGCGAATTCGCCGGGAATTCATACGCTCGTTGGCGAATTACTGACTACTGAGAGCCAATACATCGCGTCCACAAGCATCGCGCGAATTTAGAATACGCGCGTAAATCGCGTGCACTTCACCAGACTCTCGACTCATACGCAATACGCGCGAGTCGATACTAGGAACGCCTTGTTGCCAACGCGCGTATGAATGCGCGCGAAACGATTCGCGGCGAATTCTTGGTAGAACATTTTATTCCACGTTTAGTGAATTAAATTGAATATTTATTGAATATAGAAAATATTTGTGAAAAAACTGTGCTGATCAACCTTCCTAAGTGCTTCAATACAATTGAGGTTAACTATCCGTATGTATTATTTAGTAATATAAATGACAAAATTATTATTATTTTTTCGCTTACATTTGATGACTATTAATGGTACTATTCAATTTCTATATTTTCAGATTTCAAGATGGGTAATACACATGCGGAAAATAATAAAAACTATTACAATCGAAAAAAAGCTGCCAAGGAAGCTGAAAAAGCTCGTCAAGGCTTGTCGGTGAACAAGCCAATAAGAAAAACAGGAACAGAACGTAATCGTGCCTATAGACTGCGAAAAAAATGCTTTCACAAGTTGAAGAATCATCCGTGGCTGAGATTTTATCCACACCGTCAACTTCAAGTTCACAAATAAGGACTTTTGCACCATCATTTCGGTTAGCTACCATCAGTGCTAGTACAAATCAACCAGATGTCTCAACGCTGTCCAGTACTGGTATTGCTGATCATAATGGCGATAATTTAAACGATTCATTTTTATCTGCTTCAACACACGACAATCGCAACTTTATAGTTGTACAAGCTGAGGTGCATATGACTAATTCTCCTGTGCCGTTTAATCAACGTACATCAGAAAATACTTTATTAGCAGACTTGGGGCAAAACCGACTGCTTCATGCCCAAGAAACTATTCAGCAATTAGCTGGTGCCTCGAATGTACATATTTTATCTATTCAAGACATTGTACATGATCAGGAGCGTGATAGATTAAATCAAGACACGATTATGGACCAGCAATTACTTCCACAAGACGTAGAAGCCGTTCCTTCCAATTCTCCGGGACAGTTTATTAATACTTCTATTGATGAACAAATTGATATGGACGTAGATACTTCTTTACCGTATAGTAATTTTCCACGACTAAAAAGAGCTCATCAGGAATTTAAAAAAAAGTTTCTAGACAATCCTTTTGGATATCCATGTTCAGTATGTGACAGGTTGTGGTTTCAAGATGACTTGAAAAGTCCGTCTTCTGAACATAAAGAAATTTTAACACAAATTATACCTAATACACCAGCGAAAAATACGAAGCTTTGCAACACATGTATACAAGCGTTAAACAAGAAGAACATTCCTTCAATGTCCACATTCAATGGTTTTAAGTATCCAGATATACCTCAACATCTGCCACCTTTAGATCTTGTTTCCGAAAGACTAATTTCACCCCGTATTCCCTTCATGCAAATCAGAAGACTGAGGCATGTTAATGGTCAGTACGGTATTTTCGGCCAAATAATTAATGTTCCAGTTTCAGTTAATAATATGGTGAAATCTATTCCAAGGAATATTGATGATGACTATTGTATAAATGTACATATCAAACGAAAAAAAATTCATCGGTCGAGCTACTTACAAAGTACTGTTAATAAGCGTACTATTAAAAGTTGGCTCAATTTTTTAATTCCGTCACCATTGTATACCATGTACGATATTAAAGTTGATGAGTCATTTTTTAATTATAATCAAATTCACGATGAAATTCCGCAAGATGATTTCAGCGAACATATTCCTGTAGAAGATAGTCTTACGGCCCAGCAGCAGACATTATTGTGGAATGAAGAACATTACTTACGTATTGCACCTGGTGAAGACAATGTACCTCAAAGCTTATTATTTGATGAACATGCAGAGGAACTTTCCTTTCCCGCAATTTACTTGGGTCAATTCCGTAATTTTAGGGATGGTGTTAAAGTAACCCCTTTTATGATGGCTTCTAGCGAACTAAGACGATCTGATCGTCGTGCAGTTACGCCGTATCATTTATTATACATGGCGATGAAGATTATGAGGATGCGAGTTCGGGATTCTCTCACAGTTGCGTTCAAACACGTTGGTAAAGATACCAAAATTACTCGGAAACAAATAGAAGATAATCAGTACATCCATAATTGTATTGAAACCAATCTTGCTTTTCTAAGAGCAGTTCCGAATTCAACATGGTATTGGATGGGTCGCAAAAAAGATCTTTTTGCTATGATCAGACAGTTTGGTAAGCCGACTATATTTCTTTCCATCAGTGCTAATGAAATTGGATGGAACGATCTGCTCCAAACGCTCTACAAATTCAAACACCACGGTGAAACTATTTCAGAAGAAATGGCCAAGCTTCTCCATTATCTTGAAAAAACAACTCTTATTAATGAGGATGCAGTTACCTGTGCTATATATTTTAATAAATTGGTTAACGTATTAATGAATCTTTTACAATCGTCAAAATTTAGTCCGTTTGGGAAATATTATGTTGTTCATTATTTTAAACGCATTGAGTTTCAGCATCGTGGTAGTCCACATGCGCATATGCTATTGTGGCTAGCTAATGCTCCAATGGATGCACTTGAAAAAAATAGGTTGAATGCTATTGCATTAATTGATAACTTGATATCTGTTTCATCTCGCGAAGCATCGGGTAACATTAAATTACAAAGACATAAACATACATTCACGTGCTTTAAAAAAATAGTGGCAAATCAACCTCAGCATTGCAGATTCGAAGCACCTTTTATGCCTTGCCGATCTACTACAATTTTATTACCTATGCAGAAAGAGGAACCTGGTTTCAAGGATTATGCTAAACGTTACAATGATATCCGTATTAATTTAGATAATCATGATTATCATGATATTGATTCTTTTATGAGAGTAACAATATTAATTCAGATGAAGATTATCACAATATACTTCGAGCTGGAATTAAGAGGCCACGAGTTTTTGTCAAGCGTCAACCATGTGAAAAATGGCATAATCCATTTAACCCCTTTATATTTAATATTGTTAAATCCAATATGGATATTCAATTCATTACCGAAGAATATTCATGTGCTAATTATGTCTCAGAGTATGTCAATAAAACTAACAGAGGCATTAGTCATCTTCAGCGATTGATTATTGAAACTATGGATGAACATCCAGAGTTTGATGTCGTTGAAATTACTAGGAAAATTGGTGTAAATATGCTCAATAGTGTTGAGATTACAAGTCAGGAGGCGGCTTGGTATCTCTTACGAGAACCGATGTCGAAGTGTTCTACTGTAGTCACTACTATTCTCACTATGTGGCCATGTGATCGGCAACGTATAAAAAAACACAAAAAAGAATTAGACGCGATAGGCATAGGAGAAGATTCCACTAATATTTGGAAAGAAAATTGGTTCGATAAATATGAACGCCGACACGAAGATTTGGAAAATATTACTCTTGCCCAGTTTGTTGCTAATTACACCATTAAAGCAAACGGTACTTACACCGAAAGAAAAGTGCCGCGTGTTATCCGATACCGAAATTTTGATATGGGACAAGATCTTAATGAATATAAACGAGAAATGGTTACTTTACATATTCCTTTCCGGAATGAAGATGCAGAAATACTCGCGGAAATGAAGTTTATCGATACTTATAATAGGAATGAAAATGAAATTTTAAATAAAAGAAAAGAATTTGAATCTAGTTTGGACATGCAGAAAGTAATTGAAATTTCTCGAAATTTATGCCGAGAAGATGGTTTGAATGATGAACCTGAAGTACAAAATGTTGCTAACATCGCATCTGAACCAAATCCATTCCAAAATTTATATAACAATCCTCTTTCTGAAATGAATAGTGATCTTCGTCTAGCAGTACTTAATAAGCTTGGAACTATTGCTAAAAAACGAGAAAATTTGATGCCAAATACAGAATTTTATGAATTGATGAGAATGGCAAATGATAAGCAAAAGAGCTTTTGTTACATGTCATTTCAAATCTATTAAATCCAAACCGTAGTCCATTTCAAATATTTTTCACGGGTCCAGCTGGATGTGGTAAGACTTTCGTCATAAAGCTTATCATGGAAATTTATAACCGATATAATGAGAATGATGGATGCTGTAACTCGTACATCGCCTGTGCTTCAACAGGCAAAGCTGCTGTTGCCATTGACGGAACTACCGTACATACTGCCCTAAAAATATCTTTGTCGAGATTACTTCCACTAAGCACTGAAGTAGCACATCAATATAGAGCACTATTTAAATACGTCAAAGTGTTAATCATTGATGAAATAAGTATGATTGGTGCTGAATTACTTTCTCAGATTGACTCTAGGTTGAAGCAGATTACTGGAGATTTTAAAACTAACTTTGGTGGTTTAGACGTTATTTTGATTGGAGATCTACGCCAGTTACCACCAGTTCGAGCTACCCCAATTTACAAACAGCAGAAGCAGAAAATTGTTGGACCTATTTTATGGCGTGGATTCAGATTTTTTGAATTAGATCAAGTTATGCGGCAGGCAAACCAAGAGTTTTCTTCAATATTGACAAAAATTGGGAATGGTCAACAGCTCAATGATCAGGAATTAATTTTATTGGAATCGCGATTTGTAACAATGCAGGAGGCCGAAGAAAAATGTCCACATGGAATCAGACTATTTAATACAAACAAGGATGTTACAAAATATAATAACCGAATTTTAAGTACTGCTCCAAATAAAACTACTTCAATTGCTAAAGACGTATTTGTTGGCTGTACTTCAGCAGAACAAACAGCTTTTGTCCGTCAAAAATTATATAAAATGTCGCTCATTGATACTGGAGGGTTGCCTTATGAAACCGTATTTGTGCCGAATGTTTTCTACATGATTACAACAAACATCGATGTATCAGATGGCCTAGCAAATGGAGCTGTTGGAAAATTAGTTCATCTTGAATTTAATGATGAAGGAGATGTGAATGTTATATGGCTTGATTTCCCAGACTCACCAAAAATTGGTCAAAAAATAAAGAAAAAAGTCGCTGGACATGTAGCTTCTCATCAAATTATTCCAACTGCTGTACCGATAGGAAGAAGATCTGCAACTATTCCACTTAATAACAACAAAACGATAAATGTCAAACGATCGCATCTACCTTTAGTTTGCGCTTGCGCAACTACGATTCACAAATCTCAGGGTAGTACGTACCCTGAAATTGTTTATGAATATGATAAAAATCATCAACTACCATTAGTGTATGTTGCATTGACACGGGTGACTAGCCTCCAAGGTTTATACATTACAACAAAAAACAATGATAAAACTTTCTATCATGGCCGGAGAGCATCCATTGCTATAAATAGTCTTCAAGAAGAATTCCGTAGACTCTCGCTTAATCGCTTACAAACTATCAGCAATGATCTGTTAGAATTTATTAATCAAAAGAGCGGGTTAATAATATATACTTTTAACTGTCAAAGTCTCCGGGCTCATTCCACTGATCTCCTTGATCAAATTATGCAACAATCAAGTGTTTTACTTTTAAATGAGACCTGGTTAGCCAATGAAGAGTCGATTAGTATACCAAATTTCAAATGCATAGTACAATATAAGCGATCGAACGTTCGAGCTGGAGGAGTTGCCATTTATCAGAATATGCACGACACTAGCAATACTATTACTCGAAATATTGATATGACTGTAAGACAGACGGAATTGATAAATTCAACAGTGACATCAGTTGGTGATTTTTGTGTAGCGGAATGCAAAATGAAAGATGGCAATAAAATTGTTTTAATGATTATTTACATTACTCCCAATGAAAAAATGGACGACATCATACATTTCCTAAAACAAATATTATGGCCATATTCAAAAGCTGGAGGAGAATATCTTAGTAGAGAAGAGGATAAATTACCGATAATTTTAAGTGGAGACTTCAATATCAATTTTTCCCGTGAAGATGCTCGTCCACTTATTGATTTCCTCCAAAATGACTTTAATCTAGCCATGAATAATAATCCTCTGATTTCCACAACACGACACGGCACTACCATAGATGCTGTATTTTCACGATATCTAAACTCCGTTAATACAAAAAATTTCATATCGCACTTTAGTTATCATAGGCCACTGATAACTAAAGTTCCAATTCAAACATTACCGGAAGATGCTAAGGCATTGGACATAATTTAAAAACAACATTCGAATAATAATAAAATTTATGTTACACTTAATGTAATGTGTTGTCGAAACTATTTTCATCCTGCAGAACCTCTTCTGCAGGATGAAAATAGTTCTATTCGTGCAATCTATAATTTAAAATGTAGGGAATCTCTTAGAGATAAATTCAAGGAAATTAATATACTTACCTTTCCCTCGCAATATATTTATGAAAATATTATGTATGTATACAAAAATAGTGATAAGTTTACTAGAATAGAACAAACACAGGCTGCAATTTCCCCGTACTATCGAAAGTTAGTAATTCTTTTTTGGGAAAAGGGATACTCTTCTTTAATAAAATCCCAGAGGCTCTTTTATCTCTGCCTTTCAATAAATTTAACAAATGTATTAAAGAAAAGCTGTGTAAAAAGGCTTACTATAAAGTCAACGATTATCTAGTTAATAAAAGGGCCTGGGACTAGTGCTAGACAGGCTACTTCTAATTAATTTGCGATATTTGTTTTAAAATAAGTGTTGTTTGATGATTTGCTATTTTAAAAGAGTACCGAGAGTTTTTTACACCGGCTTTTTCTCTCGGCCTTCACCCTCTGTCTTCTTTGCCGATGAGTAGGGATGCCTACAAATTCAAATTTAATGACGTGGAATAAGTGATAAACATATTTTTTTTTTATTTTGTAAGAGAATAATTATAAATATTTATTTATTAAATTTTTCAAATGTAAACTGAACTTTATTGACTATAATGACTCCTTTTCCAGGCTTTGATTATTTAATTGTAATTAATTATTTGCATGCAATCAAAATCTATTTCTAATAATGCCAAAGAAGTATAACTTCTTACGCGCGTACATAAGTACACGCACCCATTTTTTTATATTCGTGTATATTTAACATGAATATTCGAATTTATAAGTGATACATGTAACTTATGTTCCATAATAAACATATACAAGAACTCTATAGTCAAAGACAAACTATGTTTACCTTATTGTCCTAAGAAAGCTTAGTTTTTGCCCAGTAGCCGTTTCCTTGGCAACGGAAATACAGCCAGTAGCGACTCGGGTCGAGCCTTAAAACAATACATTTGTATTTCAAAGGCGTTTCACCTGCCTTGTTCTCACGCGAAACCAATATAATTATGTTAATTTCGTCTGTTTATTGTTTCTCTTAATGATCTCGCTTTTGTTTCAAGACTGAGTTTTGGTAGCTTATACAATATTTTATTTTACTTTAATTGAATACAGTTCTTATAAAATACTAAGTTTTTACGTTATTCGCACCTCAAACAAGTGCAACATTGAAATAAAAATAATTTAAAGAAAAGCTAAACCAATATGATTATCCTAATATTACACATATAATATATATTCCAGAAATGAGTGTAGGTATATGTCTAAAAACTACTAAACCGTATTTTATTAAATTTAAATGTTCCCTGAGTTGGAATATTTCTGGATCAAATAAAATAAGTGTCTATCCCTTAATAGAGACTGTAAGTAGTGCTATTGGACACTTTCTTATGTTAAATATGCTTTTCAGTTAGGTTAGATCGTAACGTTAGTGATGTCTTTGTACGGAGACAATTTATATATTAATATGACTCGACTGTTTTTAGAGAAATTTATGAATATACATATACGAAATTTAAGACACGTATTGAAAGAGTATTAGATTGTAATACTCATATAGTCTCCAATTCCAACAATATCACATACCTATTGTTTAAAATGATGTGCCTCGTACGAACACGAATTACCTGCATAATTCGCCAATGTGTCGGGTTTTATCTATGACACTAAGTAGGAGGATGTTGATATTTTCCACCTCACCAAAGAGGATGTAAGGAATTATTTGAGGAGGCGAGAAGACTGTGACTTTGTTTAGCACTAACAATTTAGTTTTTCTTTGAAATATTACGAATTAATTGTCGTTTGTTTAATGTTAAATTTCAGTTTTTTTTCTTTTTTGTATATGTACTTATGCTTTCTGTTTCATATATATTGTTTATCTATGTAATATGTTTTGGCTCTGTATGTTGTCGAAGTGTTTTGTTTTATTAAATGTATGTTAGCTGTAAGATTACTTACGTATATATAAATAAATAAAAACAATTAAATACTTCTAGGTACAATCTCACAAGATTATTTTTTTTTAAGGTTATTTTTTTTATATACCTAACAGGACAAACGGGCAGGAGACTCACCTGATGTTAAGTGATACAGCCGCCCATGGAACTTTAATATCAGCCCAAATGTTTTAAATCAAGTTAATTTTCTTTCTCTTAAAGAGAAAGATAAGAAACAGATCAGTCCGTTTTTACCTTCGGGCAGTGAGGACCAACGTCGGTTGTAATGCTCCTCTAAACAGCCCTGCGATTCTGTAACTCACTGTTAATCCGTGAGTCCACTACGCAGTAACAGCGCTCCCTTCGTCACTGACGTAATTTTTGGAATCTCATGGTATTCTGTTAAGAAATTTTACATTACGTCTTGATAAGTGGAGGAAGGTAACCTAGTGAGTTGTTGTCTATTAATATCGTGACAATTGACTGATTTTATTTTATAAAAAGAGTTAATTGTCAAAATTTTCATCATACATAAACAAAATATTTTTAATAAAATAAAATAGAGAACAAAATGGTCGACGTTTGAAATAAAATTAATAATATTAAAAAAAAGATAAACTGCCCTGCGATTCTGTAACTCGCTTCACACACTCTCAGCGCTGAGTTTTGCTGTCAAATCGTTCGTTTCAGTGTCATGTTACAATTTGGTATTCTGTTAAACAATAACCGCGACAAAAGCGCCGCTCAAATGAGATTGTTCACATTTGGAACTAAAATTTGGCACTGCTACACTTACGCTCCAAAATTGTTGGTATTTGGTATTCTGATACATACCATTTGACATCTCATCTCATTTAAATGTAGATTCTTTACGTCAAATTAAAAGTTGCTCTTCCCTCGCTGAAATCGTCATTTACCAGTGAGTTAGCCATTTTTAGCGAAGTTAAAACTTGTTTTATGTGAAAATATTCTAAAATAGGACAATCTATATGTATCTTGGGGTAAGTTTATAAAATAATATTTATAATACAGCATTATTTTACGAAAAAATTATATATATAAACATTAAGCTTCGTGAAATAGAACTTTGTTATTGTTACAGAAGGCCCGTTTCCACTTTAAAAGTTTAAACCTCTATTTCAAGAAATAAATGATGTAAACCATTAAAAAATACTTAATATAATATCTATAGATGGCGAAGAAAATGTAGGCACGAAACGACCAATTGGTTTCTCGGCGTTGGTTACTATCGCTTTTTTCCAATACTCAAGAAATTATATGGTATTGACGAAACCTAGAACATATGCTGCTGAGATGAACGAAGAGTCTAGTAAATAGATGATCTAAGGTAAACATTTTGATTACTTTAGCATTAAAAATATAATTTTTATCCTAGAACCAATTTTTCGATGCAGTCTTGATCATGTCTTGTCTCCAGCAGAGATAAGTCGAATAGAAAACGATAAATAAGATAGGTAAATTTTGTAATATATTTGTATTTTTCTACTATACTAAAATTATAAATCTAATAATTTCAGAGATCCCCAAATGTTCAAAGTTCCTGATAGAAAAATACATTCTGCCTTTGAAGAAGAAGAATATTACATGTGTATCATACAACAAGGCCCCTGGATATAAAAAGACACAATAGTGCAGACATTTTCAAATTATTAAATTTCGACTACTTATCCTTCAATTTATAATAAACTAGCGACCCGCCCCGGCTTCGCACGGATGCAATGCTGATACTAAATTCAAAGTGCTATAAAGTATAGGGAGAACCGCGGCCTCCGACGCGCTGCGTCCCGCAATTTTTAAATTTGTAATATCCTCGAAATATTCATTTAAATCATATGCTGTAAAGGGCCATATAGATCTATATTAAGTGAACAATGTATTCAAGGTATTTAATTGGTTAAGGATTAATGCTGTATTGGTTAAAATCGCTTCGAAAATTAGCCATTATTTGTCGTAAAAAGTAAATGACAAAAAAAAGTTATTGTGGGTTATCCATAAGAGATAGACATAAACCATCACGGACTTTTCTGTAGACCTTTTCAATGTGTACAATACTTAGTACATTATTTTGATAAAACTCGTAGGGTTCAGCCTGCGTTTGCAATGTAAGCGGAAAACATTTAATTATTTACGACATCACATTAGAAACCTCAAAAATAACAGTACTTCTCCACTATTTAATGGATGTTATTATACATATAAACCTTCCTCTTGAATCACTCTATCTATTAAAAAAACCGCATCAAAATCCGTTGTGTAGTTTCAAAGATTTAAGCATACAAAGGGACATAGGGACAGAGAAAGCGACTTTGTTTTATACTATGTAGTGATGATAACACAGTACAATTTCGGTTCCTATATTTTTATAAAATATATTGATATAACATTAAGGTTTTGCATAAAAACATTATTCTGCTTTACACAAGTATTAAATACCATCATTACATACATGATGGTTAATGGTTTAAGTACTTATTAAGCTTTTTTAAATTTATCGTTCATAACTATTACTTTTTACAAACTAATTAAAAAATATATTAAAATAAATATATTTGTCTACAAAATAAAGTAGATGTTATTGATTAGCTCTATGTGAGGCTGGGTTTGAATTAGTTTTTATTATACTTAAGAATGTTTTACTGAAAGTTATTTTGTAGTGTGTTAAAAGTTTACTATAATCATTAAATTAAATGTGTAAGTTATTATATTGTTCTTTTATTAACCTATAATGTAACATGGCTTATATATTTTTCATTTCGGCTTAGCTATGTATTTAACTCGGTTACTACGTTTTCTATAGGCAGTCATTAAATAAGTGGTAGATTTAATTAATCATTTTATTAATATAACAATATTATTAGATACAAAAAAAAATTATTATGAAGTACACAATTATCTTAAACACGGTAATACAATTTTTCATATAAAAATCATAGTTGTCCAAACTGCATTCAAAATAGATTAGTGGTCTCTGTTTAATATCTCTTCTTAACATTTCAATAGGTAATTGGTCATTTTCTTCCTCATTCTTGACAACTACCGCTGATGACTGTAATACAATGGTTATCTGTTAAAATTGTAAATAGGGAAATGTGGTAGGTCACTGTACTGACACAATAATATTAATTATTAATAAATTAATTATTAAAAAGGAAAATAATAAAAAAACTTGCATAAAACACACAAAAACTTATATATAGGATATCTTTGTATTTCTAAGTAAAGTATCTTAAAAACATGTTTGATAATATTATAACTTAGCCAAATATTATAAAAAGTTTTATGGTAACAAGGCTTAGTAATTTCGCACACAGCATTTGATTCAGTACTATGAATATAAAAAATCTTGAGCAAACCTATATTTAGACTCAAAAATCCAAATCCAAGTATGTACTTTAAAAAAAATTATTTATTAATTAAACAAATCCAAGACCCATAAAGGGTATGTTTAGTGCTAAAGTGTAGTCAGCAGTAATAACTATCTTTTGATTGCTTCTATGTTTATTAAATAAGTTATGGCAATGTCATTCCCAACATTTAAAATTAACGTTGATCACTTGAAATGGTATGAATTTGAGCAATTGAAAGCTTATATATTTGATCCAACATACCTAACATGATTATTTATACTTGTATTCTGAAATCTGAACAATTAAATTAAATTCAACTTGATCAGTTAAAATTAATACTTCTCATATAGGAAACCTAAAAAAAAATTTTTATTTGACATTTTTAACCAACAATTTCATTATTCTTTACAATGTCGCTTCAATTTAACCTATTACATTTGAATTCAAATTTGCCATCAAACAAACTTTGTTAACTGTTTTTCTAGACACTACTTATTCCTATTTATTTACTATGATAGTTATTATATTTCTAAAATAGTTTTAATAGAATTAAGTTTTAATGAGTGTTAGTAAAAACATAGGTAATATTGTTATTGTGTGTTTGACCTCTGAATCACTTAAAAAGGTTGCAATAGTAGTTT